GATATGCAGATGATACAACCTTGCTTGCTGAAAGTGAAGAGGACTTAAGACATTTACTGATGAAGATCAAAGAGCACAGCCTTCGGTATGGATTACATCGTAATGTAAAGAAATTGTGATACAGTGGTGAGCAAAATTGGTCTCAATCCATGACCATGTGGGCTTAATAGAATAAGTAGGGGAGACATACTAAACAATGATAATATCCTATGATACGACACCAAACTATATACTACATTATACAATTCTAATGAAAGCAGAATTGCAAACTATTATCAATACAGGGATACAGAAAACCACAAAAATATTTAAAGGAGTACTGAATTTAGATTATATAATTTATATTGAATATAAAACATCTAAATGTGGGCTTGAAGGCAGAGTTTTCATTAACTATTTGGAGAAGATCCCTTTGAGGAAGGTAACCCATGTGCAAAGGTTGTGAGGCAGATAAAGTAGGATGTATTTGAGCGCCTGAACAAAGGCTTGAGTGATGGGGATAGAGAAGGAAGGGAAGATGGAGGACAGCGAGGCTGGAGGGTAGACAGGGCAGGTGGCCCAAGACCTGGAGACAGATTTACAGATTTTAGCCTTTAATAGTTAATGCCTCTAAACAAACACATATTCATCGTCAGACTGTGTATATCATATAACATAGCCAAAATATACATATTAAAAATCTCTTAGAATACAGTGACAGTTTTATAAGAACATCATTTTCACAGAAAAAAATTAAGTGTTACTAAAACAGATCAAGCACATAGACAAAAATATACAGACTCATAATTTTCTTTCAACCTTCCAAAGAACTTTTACCAAAATAAATAACAGATCAAAAAGAATGAATCAGTAACTTCTCCAAGCAAAAAAAACATATAAAGGACATTTCCCAACCCTCATAGTGTGGCGCTGTGGGTTAATGCGCTGGACTGCAAGGTTGTTTGAAGGTTGGTGGTTCAAGCTCACCAGCTGCGCCTTGGAAACCTATACAGGGTTGCTGTGAGTCAGAACTGACTTGATGGCACTTAACAACACAGTACAATAAAAGAATAAACCAAGAAAAAGTTAAAGTGGAAAAAAGAGAAAATTCATAAGTACATGTAAATTTAAGACAGCCTGCTTTCATTTTGTGGATCAAAATCTTGAACCACAAAAGAAATCAAGCAATACAAATTACTATTTCATAGAAAATAATGAAAATACCAGAGATATATGATAAAATATTTGCACTGTAGTTAGAAGTAAATGTATAACTTTTTTATTTGGAAAGAAAAATGTTAAAATCCGTAAACTATTTCCTGAAATTAAGAGAAACAAAATATCACCAAAAGTTAAATAAGGCTAAGGGTAATTGGAGTAAGGAAGTAATAAAGATTAAGGCAGGGAATTTTTTTCAATTGAGAAAAAGAAAAAAAAAGGTAGAATTAGCAAATCTAATTGTTTATGTTCAGTAAAAGCAAAAGTAAACTTTTGACAAGCATAACATTTAAAAAAAGGGGGATGAGGTGGGGGTGGAGGCAACAGAATGAACAGACCAAATTGTGGAATAGATTAAAAGTTCAAAGAGAATACTGTATATGTTCTGTCGCAATGGTTCTTAACCTAGGATGAGTTTAAGGATCTTCTGGGGCAGGTTATAAATATTCCACAGACCAGAACTTCATCCAGATCAGCTCTCCAGTGGGGTAGAAGGTAGGGATTGGGGAGAAAGAGACTCTGGCTGTGTACTTACAATATTCTTAATATTCTCTGGCAGTTTTAAAATACCCCTCTAACTGAGACTTAGTG